GGAAAATATTTGACTGAATTTACACCCAACACTATATTTTGGTGATAAAAAACTCATTTAGTCTGTTACAGAATGACTGATAGCATTATGAAGAACACTGGCTATGGGCTGTTTAAACTTCAGGCAATGAAAAACCTGCATTTTGTGTAACCATGTTTGTTTTATATCTGTGATGGATTATTTGGCCATAGGAGTTGTCCGTCCAAGAATGCACCGTGATAGGTGCCATACAGATGCAGAGCAAAAAGACCACTCTTTACCTTGTGCTAAATAACAAAAATTTTGACAGCTCCTGCGTTAAAATTTTTTTAATGTCTGAATTTGAAGTAATTTTTCAGATGCAAAACCAATGTTCATCTGCCATTGTAAATTAAACAAAGAGCAGCAATGAGGAAGTCTGCGTGGTAGTGTTGAAAAAACCAACGGACCCATGAGTTCTAGACTTTGCCTGAAGCTTTCCAATTTCTGATACTCTTAAAAGCCAGGTTTAGTATTTTTTGGCTGTAACAGATAACGTACAAACAGATAGAGTACAGTACTTCAATCCAGTTGAACTGAAATTTTTACTGTGGGGAGTCTCCTTTTTTAAAACACCTAAAAGGTCATAGAAGCTGTGGCAATATGGGTACCCTGTTAGGGCAATTGCAGAGGGTGTGTACAGAGATAGCAGGAGGTTTGTGTGAGGACAGTATGGAAACAGTATAAGAAGATGGAAGAGAGCAGACTTTTAAGCCCACTGAGAATTTTTTTCCATGTCTATCAAGGTTACTCAAAGCATTCATATATTTGGTATTTGCCTCTAAGTCATTACATTTGAACCATGTTGTTCAAAGCTAGAAAGCAAATTCTCCTATTCACAGAGGATATACAACCACTTCCTTTTCTCATTTATGAAATATAAAAATCCATCTTAAAATGCCTTTGCTGACCTCAGCTGAGGCAGCACAGTAGAAGGATCAACTGGCCTATTGCCTTTGAGGTCAAACACCGTGAGAATGGTCTCTGCCTCCCTTCCCATCCCATCTGTTACACCACCACGAGTTGAATAGATGGAATTACTTAACAGTTTCTCTCTCCATTACTCCCTGAGTTTCCGCTCTCACCTTCATACAAACATTTCTGTTTCAGCATCAGATTAATTCCTCCCATGTGCAGAAAGCTGCCCACCTCTCTGATCCTACCCTCTTCTCCAAACAGCTGGCCTACACTGACTACACCAAAGGTTTTCCTGTTTATCTCATCTTATCTGACAGTTACAGGTGCTGTTTGTTGCTGTAATGACATATTCAATATTATGTGCTCTTTAAACCCACCCCAGAAAAACATGAAGACAGATGTGCTACAACATTCCTCACCAAGGAGGATCTAGTGAGAGGGAAGGTCATGATAAAAATCAACTAATATATCCACGGCTAAAGCAACACCAAGCAATAAAACTTAGCTTACTTCAATGCTGCAACTCTTCTTAAAATAGGCCAGTATCTACTAAAATCTGTTCTGTTCACCACTGTAAAACAAATCAGAGCTATATAACCCAAGCATGATTTTAACCAAAATTATGGACAGAGTATTTTTAAAATCAGTTAGCTTTGACTTAAAGGCAAAGTGTATTGAAAACATGCAAATTAGTTTGCACATTTCCCTTTTCTATTAATACTTGCAGGCTTGTTTTGGGTGGGATTTTAAATTATATTCAAAACTCTCTGGTGTCCTTTCTTGAAAATAAAATAAAAATCCATAGCCAAATAAGAACAAAAGACTCCAAAATATGCTAGTGTACTGCTGGCTAAATGACTAGGCTAGTTTTCTGGCTGGGCAACTCTTCAAGAATCATTTTCTCTACCGCATGAAAGACTTATTTATTACAAAAGTCCATGCAGTCAGAAGACAACATGAGGAACTCGTACCAAAAAGAAAGGCAGCATCAAATCAAAGATTGGCCCTCAGAGCTTGTACCACTTTTCAAACCATTCCTGTTTGGAGTGCTATAGGATTGCTTTAACAGGAGGAATAAATCACCAGTCGCTGACATTTGGGCTGCTGGCTTTTTCTCTTTCTTTTCTGCTCCGAATTTCCAAAGTCTGCAAGGTTTTAAGCACGTATTATTTACAAATAACACCAGAGCATTGTGCAAACGCATCTTCTTGTTTGTGGGAGTTGTCTTCCAGCTGTAACATGTAACTTTTGGGATTTCCATCGGAGCCAAGTAAGCCGGGGAGGGAGCGGAGCTGAGCGACAATGGGAATATCCGGCTCTGCCTCCCGTGGAAAAAACAGCAACAACAGAAGGGGAAGGGAAGACTCCTGGACCCTGTATAACAATTGGCCCGTTTCGGGGAGCTCAGGAAGAGGGAAGTCAGCCTAACAGCTCCACTGGTGATTTTTCGAGGCAAACTTTCCAAGCTACTTAGCGAGGCGGCGAGAGGCTGCCGCCCCTCCTGCCGTGCCTCCCTCAGCCGCGGCTGATCCCGCCCCGGCTGACAGGACCCGCGGCACCCGGACAGGACCCGCGGCGCCCGCTCACCCCCGCTGCCGCGGCCCCCGAGCCTCCCGTGCCCCTCCGCGCCGCTCCGCACCTTTTGCTCAGAGGCCGGACCCGCACGGCTACCTTGACGTTGGCCATGGCTCGGCTCACGCCCAGCGGCTGCGGCCGCCCGCGCCCCGGCCCCGCATCCCGGGCGGAGCGGGGAGGAGCGGGAGGAGCGGAGCCGCCCGTCCGTCCGTCCGTCCCGGCCCGTCCCGCCCCGCCGGGGAGGGCAGGGCAGGAGAGAGCCCGGCCCAGGCAGCCCCCGTGGAGGGAATGCACAGAAACTTCCCCGGGCAGAGAGCAGGCGTTTCGGGGAAAGGCTGCCCGGAGCAGCCGTGCGCAGCCTCTCCAGCAGCCAAACCGCGCTTTTCCGCCTGGGACAGGGCTGCCCGGGAGAGCGGCACCCCCGGAGAAAGAGACGGCGGTTCCGCGCTCCTCCTCAAATTCTCTTTGCAGCAGCAAACCAGCGCGGGTTTTACCCAAGAGTTAATGGGCAAAACTAGCCCGATTAAGGGTGATGCCCTTAAAGCATCACTAGGGACGAGCACTGTAAGCCCTCCACATTAATTAGACAGGAATTTAGGGAAGGCAAATATCCCTTCCTTATTAGTGCTAAAGGAAAGGTCTCAAGTATTTTAGATTCCTTTGGAAACATCCAATCTTCATGTGAGTCGTACTTAGGATCTAAAAGAAAATTTTGAAACTTCCAAAGAACTTTAATTGAAATCAAGATATAGTTGTTGCATTGATTGAAGTTTTTTTACTTGGAGTAATATAAAAGTCATGGAAAGTTTTAAAAAATTTATTTTAGAATACTGTCTCTGTCAGCTACTGATGTTACAGGAAGATGTAAGAGCAAATAGCATTGGCATAAAGAAGATGTCAGGCTCAATAGGCAAGTCCTGTTTGATTTTGAAAATTCCATTTGCCAATGCAAATTTTTAAATGGACTTCTGGTTTTGCATTTCAAAATATGATAAACTGTGCCATATCTGAATATCATATATGAGAGTTTTAGAGTCCTATGTTGTTTTTATATTTAAACAACTTCTGTTTTAATTGATTTTTAACTGCTTTTTTGTACTTTATGTATAGTTATTTTCATGAAACAGTTTGCCTTAAACTCCAGAAAGGTTATATCTAAAGGAAAAAGGTACCACAATTCAGAAGTTTTCCCAAGTGAAGAATGGCATAAATCCTTGGCTCCCAATACTCCATTCACCACAGAGATGCTAAAATGAATACCTACAAGCTGTGAATCACTGTATACTTCGATTTATCCCTTTAAATTGCACTAAAGAATTAATTGACACATTACTGGCAAATGGCAATTAGCTAAACTCTACCAACTCGAGTCAACTCTTCAAAAGTAGATACAGTAAAAGAAGAAAATACGCTCAACTCTTTGGGAAATGGCAAAGAGTTACAATGAACAAACTGACTACAATGTTTTGTAGTCAGTTTGTTCATTGTAACTCTTTGTGCTCTAAAATGATTAAATTGTGCTCTAAAATTATTAAATTACAACAGCTTTAATGTGCCTGATCTAAATCATCACTGTAAGACACGAAGAGTGAGAGTCTAAGCTTAGAATATATGTAGAGGACATTGACTGACAAAAATCACAGAATCAACTAGGTTGGAAAAGACTCAGCTCATTGAGTCCAACCTATGATCACCTATTGCTCTGTTTTCTCCCATGTCACAGAATGTGCAAGGCATTTTTATTAAAAATGTCAGGTTCTCTGCAGTTGTGTGGAAGAACACCTTGATTTCCACATCTGAAAAAACAGTGACATGGGACTTTGGACTCAAATCCTGTAACAATGCATAGCAAGTGTTGACACAAAGATCTCATTAATGCTTGTGGGACTCAAACACCAGTTCATATTCTTAGATTCTATCTAGTGACATTCTGCTTAAACCTAATTCAAATTGTTTCTATCCTCTTAACTTTTCTCAGCAGCAGCAGAGGAGCATCAGCTGATGTTCCTCAACAGCTGTACTGCATAGCTTACACAGTATGCTAGAGAATTGCTAAATTGGATGTCTTGCATTCACACTCTGCAGAATGGTTACAAAGATTAAAATGAGATTCTCAGAAAAGTTTAAATATAAAATAGACCAAATACAAGTAAGTTTTAATAGAGTGTGCTCAACAAAGAACCAAAGAGTTCTTCCTTAATTCTACTTTAAGTTTATATGCAATAATCAGATAAACTTGTGAACTTTGTGCTACTGAGCCACCCAGTGGTTACTTTGAGAAAGCAAAATGTTCTTATTTCAGCAGCAGGAATCAACAGGTGGATGTTCACATAACAAATGATACAACAGTAGAAAGGAATACACCTGCACCACTTCTGTGTCTACTTCACATCCTGAATACAAAACCGGGCACCCTCCAAAGACAACCAGCTATCCTGGATTATAGATGTCCTGCCGGTGACATTGTACCAACCCATCTCTTCATGAGGGCTACAAATTGGGACAATCAATGGTTTTGATAAACTGTCAATCTTACTCATGGAACAAGAGTTTTATTCTAAGTGGGACACTGAAAATCGGGCAAGCAACAGAAAAAGAGAATCTGAAGAATATATTTATCATTACCATTGAAGCATGGTTTCCAAATCAGTAGATCTGTCATATATTAGCAAGTCCATTTCCTGCTTTCCCACAAAACCACATCAGTCATAATAAACTGTAATTTAAAACTTATTTAATTTCTTGATTGGAACTCCTATAGAAGCATAAGCTTGGACCTAACACTATGCTCCGTAATTTTAATGATAGGATTTTGTAACAAAATTAAAAGCTGAAGAAACTGACCTTTTGAAATCTAGTGCTTTTATTAAAGTTTTATGGCAATATACAAAATACAGTGTTTTATCAAGATGCTTACAAAAATGAATTGAGATACTATAGAAAGTGCAAAAAAAACTGAAACAATTTTCCATTGAAGATATAGGCTCCAAGGGACCCCTATCAAACTATTCCAGAAAGGAACTCTAACAGGTTTCTTGGTAGCCTATCTTCCTATGAGCATTGCCCTTTTTTTTAGTAAATAGTTGGAGAACTGTTACTTAATAACAGAAATATAACTACCTACAAAGACTCTGTTGGATTAAAAGAGACCTATTTCAGTTTTCACAGAAGACTCTAAGAACATAGTTCTTTGAGTAGTCATCCAAGTTGAGGAAAAGGATTTGTTAGATTAAAGATAAGCCAAAGTCCAAGTCAGCAGTATTGTATACATTGTTAGAATACACTTCTTTCTGCAGTTCTTCCCATTTCAGTATTTGCTCTGTCAGCTCCCTCAATTCTATCATGAGCAGCTCTGTTTTCGACAAAGTGGCGTCCTGAAACAGAAAAGGGGTGGATTTAGTCTCTATACATCCTGTCAGCACATAGAAGTAACCTAAACAACCAAACAGCACTGCATTTTTCATGCTGGAGAAGACAGCTGGCTCAATTCTTTTACTACTCACCATATTGTTCATCATATGTGGTACCTGAGGGATGCTTCTCACAGACTGCAAATGGCTTTCAAGCTTCTCAATGAAAGTCACAGCCTCATTCAACAACTCTACTATAGATCTGTAACCAAAAATGAGCTCAAAAGTTGTGCTAAACAACAAAAATTTAATACTTAAAAGTTCTTTTTCATTGCCCTGCTTTTCTTAATCCCCTTTTACAGCTTTATGCAAGTTCCTAAACATCTAATTAATTTTTCTGCAATCACACTTCTTGTATGACTCTTAGCAACAAACAGGGCAAGAATTACAGAAGTAAACTCCTTCAGTACCTGGGCTAGATTTTTAGACTGTAAGAAGAAGGACTATACTTTTATAACATGCACTATGCATGTCTGGGAATTAGTCATGTTTAGTTCCAAGCAAGCAACAGTGGAACAAAGACACCCAATGCTAAAGTAACAACTCCTGCTTGGGAGAAGCATAACAAACCCAGCATGTAGCACATTTGTTTAAAACAACACATCACAACTTGTTCTGTAGACTTCTAAAGACAAGACCAATAACCTCAGTAAATGTTCATAAAATATGTATCACTTCCTTTCTATGAATTTACCAATGAGTAAACTACCCACTTTTAGATGAGGTTTTGCTACCATTTTTAATGTCCACCAGTGGAAAATTATTGAAAACATATGATTTTTACTGTCTGTTAGTTCAAATTAACTGGGCCTCCTGCAAACAAGAAACAGGATTTTCTGTGTACCTACTTGTGATAAGTAGCCTCAATAGGCAGGCTTTCTTGACATCTGTGTTTGAGCAACCTCTTTCTGAGATCCCTCTTCTCTTTCAGTATGGCTTCCAGGTGTCTGTTCATATCTTGCAAAATCTCGCACTTTTTCCCTATAAAATAAAATTGCAAGCTCAACTAGCATGGAAACATGCTTTAGGTCTTAATAAAACACCTACCAACTCTAACAAGTTATTGAGAGATGACTGCTGCAATAACTTCTGGAAGTGTCATGTACTCAGATAAAACATTATTCTGCTGCTAATTTTAGACTCTTGGTTTTTCCACGGTACAACTGCACTTACCTAAGTAAAAATGGTGAGTAATGTCTGCTGTCTCATTCTCCAACTGCAGCATTTCAGTTTTCAGTTTTATCTACAACAGCAATAACATCAAATGAAAATGCATTTTTAACATACTTATCCTGACACTGTTGACTCTCCTGGGGTGGAGGAGAAAGTGGCAGCACAGGGAGAGCATGTGTGTGAAAGAGGGTGAGCATCAGCACAGGAACATGTTGCCCTGCTCTCTGGAGAATTTCTACTACTAGGTGGGACTTTTTTGGTCAATAAAAAAAAGGCTGTTTAAAAAGACAAACCTAAATAATTTGGAGATTTGTGGTGGAAAAGACAGATCCGGTAACTCATTCCTAAACCGCAGAACTTATGATAGAATGGCTTGGATTGAAAGGGCCCTAAAAATCATCTAGTTTCAAGCCCCTGCCAATGGGTAGGGATATCACCCACCAGATTAAGTTGCTCAGACCCCTCTAACCTGGCCCTGAACACTTTCAGGGATGGAGAATCCACAGCTTCTCTAGGCAACCCGTCTCAGTGTATCACCACCATCACAGTAAAGATTTTTTTTCTAAAATCTAATCTAATCTACTTTATTTTATTTTAGTTTAAACCCATTTCTCCCTGTCCTAGCATTTTCTGCTTGTGGAAAAAGTCACTCTCCAGCTTTTCTTAAGCCCCCTTTAAGTACCAGATGGCTGATGAACAATCCCTGCTCTCTGAGTCTGTTTTTGTAGGAGAGGTGTTCCAGCCCTTGCATAATCTTTATGGCTCTCCTCTGGAACTGCTCCAACAGGTTCACTTCTCTCCTGCTCTGAGGATCCCAGACCTGGACACAGCACTTCAAGTGGGGTCTCACAAGGGCAGAAGAGGAGAATCCTCTCCCTGGCCCTGTTGGCCACACTGCTTTTGATGCAGCCTAGGATGTGGTTGGCTTTCTGGGCTGTGAGGGCACATTGCCAGGTCAGGTCCTACTTTTCATCCGCAAGAAATCCCAACTCCTTTCTGCACAGTGCTGCTCCCAATGAGTTCATCTCCCAGCCTGTACTCATGTCTGGGACTGCCCTGACCCAGGTGCAGGATCCCACATTTAGTCTTGTTGAGCCTCATGAGGTTTTTGGAGCCTATTTCTCAAGCTTGCCCAGTCCCTCTGGATGGCATCCCATCCTTCTGCTGTGCCCAGGGCTCTTCTCCTGCCAATTCCTTAATCACTGAATAGTCTACCCTTCAAACCCATGTCTCTCCTACTTATATCTCTTACAAAGCAGTTTCATAGTCTATGTAGTGTCTAAACCAACATTACAAAGTACAAGGCAACAGCCTAAAATCAGCCTTGACTCGCTTTAAGCAGTACGAAATGTCTGAGGTTATTGCCTGCTAAGCAACAAAATTGCCTACAAAAAGACACATTTTTGAGTAGTGAAGTAAACTACAAATTATCCTTTATTGTTCAGTTTCTTGAAAAAAATTCAGGTAACACCTTAGTCAAAGGTGCAGCCTACTGAATCCTTCTACTTACATACTACAATTTTGTTTCATAGTTTTATTTTCTTTATGACAACTCAGTCCACTGGGAAGAAAAAATGCCAACTGTTAAACAGCTGAACTGTTAACAAATCCCTCATAACATGAAACAACATGCCATGTGGCAGTCTGATATTTCATCAGGGCCCTCTATTACCTCCAGGTATTGAAGTGTTGAGCGTACACTGACAATAGTAAAGGCTGTACCTCATTAATTTCAGCTTCCATGTTTACCATTTCTTCCATCTCTGCGAATTTTGCAAAGCATGGCATTCTTCTGCAAGTTAAATCCAAGGTTTCCTTTGAAAGTAAGACAACAGGAAAAATGCAATCAGCAGCACGAACGCACCGGGCAAATGCTCCATAGTGACTTGTAGTAGTTTGAAGCTGTTTCTTTCCCGCGCTCGGCAATACGGCCCAGCTCAGGAGAGCAGCGCTACCCGCGGCGCTGTCCCGGCGGTACCTGGCTCACGGTGCCCGCCGCCACGCACCGCTCCAGCAGCGCGGCCACCGCCGAGCGCGGCAAGGGCTGCGAGGGCCGGGGCGCGCCGGCGCCCTGCTCCTCATCGCTCTCCTCGCTGCGGCACTCCAGCTCCAGCTCCAGCTCGGCATCGCTATCGCCGTCCAGCTGGGAATCGGAGCTGAGCTCGGGCTCGCCCGCCCCGCAGGGCAGGAGGCGGAGGCTGTGCCTGAGCCTGGCGGCGGCGACGGACGAACACCCGGCGACCCGCAGGAACATAGGGCGCTTGGAGGCCGCCATGGCGGGCGTGGCAGGAACGGCGCTGACACGCGTCCGGTTCCGGGCGGGCGCTGCGGGAGCGGCGGTTCTGGAAGGGCGGAGCGCGGGGGACGGGCCGGGGCTCCGCCGCCGCGGAGCGTCTGCCAGCGGCGCCCGGACAGGTGCGTTGGGCCTGGCCGGGCCGGGCCCGGCGGCTCCCGGCCCTGCGGGGATCGGGGCCGGAGCAGCCGGGCGGGGTTGGGGCGGGGGGAGCGCGGCCTGCTGCGGGCCAGGGCTGGCCTCGCCGCTTGCCGGGGGCCCGCGGCGGCGGGGAGCGCGTCTCCGATCGCCGCTGCTTCCGTGCTGTCCCCCAGGCTTCATTGCCCACCGCCCGGTGCGAACCCGGCACTAATCCCGGGCCTGTGACCCGTGCGCCCTGGGATTAAACCCCGCTGGGGTTACGGAGGTGGGCGTCGTGTCTCTGCTGATATGCACGGCAGAGGAGTCCGCTCTCTAAATAGGGTAAAGGTCTCAAAAAAGCCCAAATAAAACAATAGCTGTGTCGGCAGGCCAGCGCTGGTAGATGCCAAAGAAATCACAACCCGTCTCCGTGGAGAATCTCCTTAGGTGCGGGGCCTCGAAAGAGGGAAGATACAGAAATGTGCAGTTTTCTCACTTAGTTTTGACTGTGCTTGTTGCATAGTTTCAGTAATCAAACTGCTGTAAGGAATACACCTTAATCTAGGTAAACCTAGGTAAACCTTTATACTTCCAGGTTTTAGTTACGAGGGAGATGAAAACAAAGCAGTGAAGAAATGGTTTATTGTGTCAGAATGCTTGTAGTGCTGGGGACAGTGCACATAAAATGACTTTTTAATTTGCTTTATCACAGAGACTTTGGATTGCAGTTCTCTAGCACAGAGTAAAACTGGCTGACACCATCACTTGAACTCCGTGTGCTCGACAGAGAACTGTTAGGATGGGAAATAGTGCACTAAAAGCCCACCTGGAGACAGCACAGAAAACTGGTGTATTTCAGCTAACGGGAAAGGGACTTACTGAGGTAATGTACTGGGAGGGGAAACATGGCTGTTTGTGTGTATGATTGACACTTTCAGAGAGAAATTCACACTTGTGGTTGTAATGCACTTGCATACATGTATTTCCTATAAGCAGTCATGAAAAATATTTCAAGTTTGTTTTTGCTTTTCCCATTTTTGCTTGCCTTGTCTTCTGATTGAGGATTTCTCTGTCAGGGCACTTGTATCAGCGTATGCTTTACAGTGCACATATGCTCAAAAAATACTAGCTATGATGTTGTGCTTTTAGAAAATGGCTGTAAACTCGAGGGGGAAAATATGAATTTTATAACCATTTTATAACTTAGAAAGATACTCCACAATTTGTCACATTTAGGTGCTTATGCTATATTTAGTTAAAGCCATATGAATAGTCTGTACAGGCTGTTCATTGGGCTGGCAGCAAGCATGCTGAAAGTTTATTATATTGGAAATTATCTTAACTTAGACACAACTGCAGAAAAAACCAGAATGTCGTGGAAACATAAGTCAAGCAACAATTCACAGGATAGCCAAAAATAACTCTATATTACAGTAACTTTCCAAGCCTTTTCTAACATATCTCCTTCCACTGTCCTGCCTCCTCACTTCACTTTTTCTCTGTCAAGCCAAAGGAGGATCAAAACCACTGGCTTATTCACCAGGACTCCTTGATGGTGATCGTCAGGTTTTCTTTATTCACCTGAGGGCCAAGACTCAGTACCAAAGTGGTACAGGATGTAAATAAGAATAAGGGAAATGGTATACATAGTTATTTAAAAAGGAAAGCAGGAGAAAAATTCTCATATCATACTCTGCTAAAATATAGAGTTATTAACTGGCTATAGAATATTTTAAAGGATAGGCATGTTTAAAGAAACACATAAGAGGATGAAAATGTAATGTTTTGAATTTTACTTATTTGGATGAAAAACTGCTCTTCTAGATGTTAGTGTTTTCTTTTCCCTTTCCCCTCTCCAGATGAAAAAATATTTTAAAAAATATGTGATAAACAAATTTGCTAATCACACTGTGGTGCTTGGACATTGTGATACATATGACAGTATGCAACAGTGAGACAATTGAAATTTTATCTGTATGACTTGAACATTCAAATTTGTATTAACTCTTTAAATACTGTATCTTTTTCCCCCAATAGTTTCCTGAAGATCTGCAGAAGCTAGCAAGCAACTTAAGGACAATAGACTTGTCAAACAACAAAATAGAGCTCTTGCCACCTCTCATTGGAAAATTTTCCTTTTTGAAGAGCCTTGCTCTAAACAACAACAAACTGAGTATGCCTGCTAATTAATATCTCCACTGATTTTTAAAATAGTAACTAATTTTTTCTATCCAAAATTAAATTTAATTATTTAACTCTCACAAGATGTAAATGGGGAGTTTAGTCACCTAAACGGAAATCTTTGGAATTTTTGTACAGGATGAAAAACTCTCAATCATAAATTCTACAAAACTACAATATTGCTGCTTAGTGTATTATCAGTTTTACAATGACACATGAGTACTTAAACCCATAGAGGTTTTGTGCTGTGACTTAATCTGACTTGAGGATTTAACAGTGCCAGATGGTTTAGTACTTGCCTAGAGAACAGGTAATGAAGATGACATGTAGACAGTGTTGCTGGCCATTCAGCTGGTGTTACTGTTTCTGTTAAACAAATATCCATCATTATGGAAAAACCACAATGAGGAAACTAGGGGTTTTATGCATTAATTATGTATTATCTGGCTTTTTGAAAGAACAAAGATAATTTACAAACCTGATTGACTCTATAGTGCAGCTCAGGAGTGTTAGAGGTTATGCACATGTGTAAGTGTAAAGAGAGATGAATGGATGCCAGCAGACCTTACCTAGTGGTGTTTGTGTACTGGTATGACACAGTATGAATAATCTCCTAATTTACTTCTGTAAGTTGAGTAATACCTTTAAAGGGCAAAGGTGTAAATTTTGTGGTATTTCAAGTGTCATAGAATGCATTGGCAGAAGTAAGGACTAACATAAGTTAGTTAAGACTGTAACTGACAGGCTAAAATATTCAGAACTGAAGTGATTTCACACTGTGATTTGAAGGTCTGCCTTGTCTGCAGATTATTTTTGATACATTTATGGATGATGGTTAAAAAAGCACATGTTGTCTGTGGGCTTAAGTTTCTGTGCAGGGATCTGTGCCTTCACTGGAAATTGGGGAGGAATTCAGTAGTGAGAAATTGCTTAATATAGCACTGTTCTCCCTGCAGAAGCTCATTTGAATTAAATGGGTATAAATGTTTATTGCTCTTGAGGTCATACATTTTTCTGTCATTTTTCTCTAGCTGCTTTACCTGAGGAGCTGTGTAAACTGAAAAAACTGGAAACACTACACTTGAATGGCAATCACTTGAGGCAGCTACCGGCTGCATTTGGACAACTTTCAGCTCTCAAAACCCTGAGCCTTTCTGGAAACCAGCTTCGGACTGTGCCCACACAACTCTCTGGTCTTCGCCATTTGGATGTGGTAGATCTTTCAAAAAACCAGATCCAGAATGTCCCTGACACTGTGGGAGAGCTGCAGGCTATCGAACTCAATTTGAATCAGAATCAGGTCTGGTAACTGAGATGTTGTGGGAATGTAGATTTAGGGCTTAGTACAGCCATGGAACATAAGATGAGACCATCAAAACTTTACAGTTAAAAGACATCTCCTGGACACAACTCAAATGAGGAATCATAACTAGATTTTCTGTACCAATACATCAACTGCCTGATTTGATGAACAAAAACATCCTGAATTTAGTCATGCAGAAAAATATTTGAACAGTTCTTGAGTAGGAATGTGATAAAGATATGTGTAGGTTGCTTGTCATCATGGAATAAAAAAAGTTATTTTGATTTTTGATAATTTGTTACTTATGCATTGCTTTTAAGTACTTGCTGTTAATGTACCTTATATTTACAATATGGTAGTTGTTCTGTGTAAGTGGGAAACAGATCACTTAATAATTATTGATCACTACCATTTTAATCCCATTTCTCTTTTCATTTCACAAGATTTCTCAGATCTCGATGCAGATCTCCCACTGTCCACGCCTCAAAGTCTTGCGTTTAGAAGAAAATTGTCTAGAACTCAACATGCTGCCTCAGAGTATCCTCAGTGATTCCCAGATCTCACTGCTTGCAGTAGAAGGCAACCTTTTTGAAATCAAGAAACTCAGAGAACTGGAAGGTTATGACAAGGTTTGTGTTTTGTTTTGTTTTGGGGTATTTTGTCTTCTTTTAAGAAACTTCTGGTGAAGTCCTTACTCAGAATACTAAGCATTTATGCTGGTGAATAAAAGCACCAAATAGTCCGTTGGTGGTGTCACTGCTACTGGATTCATAACTAACCTCTGAAAACATCTCCAGGAGTTCTTCAAAGGATTCAGGGTCAGTGTTCTTTCATCAGCATCTTTTGAAGGGTAGCTAATAATGACAAGCGTGTCTTCACTTAGATGTGACAAAAAATAAAGGATGCTTTGAATTATACAGCATTCGTTAAGCATTTGATATTCGTTCATCCTTAACACCGGAGATCTGACCATTAATCTGAATTGCAGCAAATGCCAGAAATGTTTTGGGGGTGTCTTTGTTTGAAATTAAAGCTCTAATAGCTATGCCCGGCATTTTAAAATGTGCTTTAATGCAGACTGTTTTTGAGTCTGAGAGCAGAAGCTCAGCTGCTTTTAGTAGTTATGAATCCTCCATTAATTTCTGAAAAAAATCATAGATCTTTTTTTTTTGTTTGTAGTATATGGAACGGTTTACAGCTACAAAGAAGAAGTTTGCATGATCACTATTCTGATCCTTATACTACTAATAAGAAGACTTAGACTAGAAGCATCTGCTTCACTGACTTGAACCAAGACCGATGAAGGAAACTATCAGAGTACTCCTCTTCTAGTAATCTGAAACAGCCTGTTAAGACCACATTGAATAAACTTGAACTAGAGAATATAGGTATTGAACTGATGAACCTGCCCAGGGGCCAGTTTTGATTTTTGTGCCACAATAGCTTTTAACACAGTACATGTTTTCCTTTGTCAGGGCTTGTTCTTTCACAGAGAAAGGGAACAAGCATTTCAAAGTTGCCAGTTCCCTTTTGTCAGGAAGCTGGCTGTTGATTTGTAAGAGGATTATTTCTTCTAGAAACATTTTTCCATGATAGCACATGGAAGCTCTACCACCAAAGCACTGTATGTCTTGCAGTAAGCACTGTTCTGCAGAGAACTTTTACAAATAAGGTTTTAGTTTATAACTTAAGTTGTTTGTTTTTTATTAATGAAGCACAAATAGTTTTGGTTAAGTTAAATGTTTCATTAACAGCTTCCAGTAAACAAATTGTGGTTTGAGCATCCTTAATTTATATTTTACTATACAGGCTTTCTTTTCCCATAAGCAAGAATTGCACTACAGTCCACTTTTGCTTGAGCTGTATCAAATAAAAATTAGGTTCATCTTCAGTGTATTCAGTAAATATGTATATTGCTAGAAAATATATCCTTGCACTGACTCCTTGTGTACAGAGCAATGCTGAAGGTTTTAGTCGTCAGCCCACTGCTGCTGCCTTATTACCAAAAGCACCTAGGAAGAGCTAAAAATGTATGCAATTATGTAACTTATACTGAAAAGGAAAATGTATATTTTAGTAAATTATTTTCAAAAAATCAGTTCAAATTTTTTTGCTGTAACTGTTGTCGCTTTATTTGGTAGTACTTAGATGTCACTGAAAGCCCTCACTTAGCTACTTGAGTCTGTCAGTTGTTGGTAACAGCTACACTTCAACATTACACCCATAATTATGATTAGCAATAAGTGTTTCTTGTGTGAGATGTACAGAGAAGCCTTTATTTCCCTGACCCTGTTGCCATTTTATTTCAGTTCTTACATAGCAATATATAGTGTAGAAGAGTGTTTTAGGGGACATCAGCTCCTTATTCAAAGGATGGATGTGATTCATCATTTAACAGGGAACCAGCTGTACTAAGATTTCCCATTCCAGCTATTCCATAGTAAAAAAACCTACTAGCTTCTTGACAGAAGTAGCTGACAGCTGACCGTCTTATGAGACTACTTTGTTTTGGGAGGCATAACTAGGGAAGTGCTTTAAGAACACTTATGTCTTACCATGATACAAGATCCTGTATAGTTAGAAATCTATTCAACTTCATACTAATAGATTCCACAGATTAGGACATGAAAATTGAATAGTGAATAAAGCCTTCACACATGTTCTAAATTTTAGCTCCTTCTACTTGATACCTAAATCCCATTTAGCTTTTTTCTTTCTAGAGTTTTGCTGAGACATCAACAGAACAAATTAGCAGTTAGCAGATTCCCCCATTGCATTCACCAAAGAAGTGGTCTACCATCAGTATGTACAAACTTGGCAGCACTGTGCTGCAGTGGCATTTTGGTTTAACAATTTTTTAACTGAAAGCATCTGTGCTCAGAGATGCTGCTTCTCTCATTTAATATGTGTTTATCAGGGGGTCTTCTTTTCTATTCAGCAACAATGTGCAAGAAGAGATGCTAGAACAGAACCATTGAAAATTATGGAGTTAGGATTGCTATAAAAAAATCTTACAATTGTGGGAAGAATTTCACTAAATCATTATTTCTTTTTTGTGATCACTAGTACATTTAGAAACCTTTCAATTGCTCATTGTTAGTCTCCTTTGCTGCCTTGGAGTTATGACAGCTATCGAAGCTTTTTTAGAGCAAAATGGAGAAAACGCCACATAAAATACTGATTGGAACCAAGTTAGTCCTAATTAACTAAACTTGTTCCAGAACAGAAGACGACATATTTCTGTTGCAAGGAAAAATTAACTGGCTGATGCCTTGCCTGTTTTAACTTGCAGCAATGTAGTGTGACTAAGTCACATAGTAGAATGCTGTTTTAGGCATTTCAGCACTCTAACCTATTAGTAGTTTTATATTGGGACTTTGTGTTTTCCCTTCTCATCACCCCCACCCTGCAACAAACGAAGCTATAAACCAATTTTATTTCTGTGCACAATTTCACTTGCAGCTTTTTAATTTTGGAATTACTGAGGTAGAATATTACCCTAGTTAACAATATAAACAATTTGTGTATTTTGTTTCAGACCTACATCCCTTGCTCTCTCATTTTCTACTGCAGTAAGACACACATTTCATCCATCTATTCCACGAGCATTTAGACACTGCATTGCTTCGAACGCAGCAAAGATGAATTAGCAACTGCAGGTCATTGTATGGGGTGAACAGCAAGTTGTTTCACCATACAGCATTCACAGAGGTTAGTTCTGCAAGTAGCTGCACAAGCAGCATGTCCTGCAGGTCATAATACAGTTACTGGTCTGCTAAAAAGCTGTCTTTCATCAAGGAGTAGACTAGCTTGAATTTACCAATTATTGTCTTTAAAGTGTGGAAACGGAATGAAATCTTGAAATCAGAGGACAGAGCTGAACAAACACTCCAGAAAGGGGATATGGTCAATTGAAACTGAAATCGAAAAATCCAGAAAACTTTAAATGGAGTGACTACAACCAATTGTACCAAGATGAAATTGGGTATAGGGAAATAGACCAAAAGTAGTGAAAATTATTCCCTTTGAAATCCTTAAAATCAGGAATGAAAGGGAAACAAAGACACAGAAGAGAAACAGAAGAATTGAAAATGCAGGGAAAAAAAAAACAACCTGACACCCATGGGACATGTGCTGCCTCCTCATAATAGTTATGTAAGCAGGCTGTCCCTACTTTCTTTTCCTAGTTACTGGTAGATATTAGATAGCATAGTAGAAGTACCTCTTTCAAGCTCTTTCCAAGTATGCTAGTCTGTCTTGCAGGTCAGGAACTGTTGCAAGTCAAAAAGTCTCTACTTCCCCCCATAGCTCCTCCCTGTTAAGAGTGTTTTGGGAATCTGAGGCTGTGGTACTAGAGAAAATACAATTTAAATTGCCTCACAAATGAAATTGCTTTTGCAGTAGGCTAAATCTCTTCATTTAATCTACTGGACTAGTTACTTACTATGTATCTGTTAGCAATACTTAACTAGAAAGTTTTAAGTTATTTTACTTTGTTCCTTTATCATCTTCAAGTATACTCCCATGTATGTCACAGTCTTTCAAAGAAGAGATGGACACAGTTCATAGTCTGCATTTAGGAGATGATTATGTAGGAATCAAAACCAGAGTGTTAAAGACCACAATATTCCTCTCCTCCCAACCACACCTATTCTTTTTTTAACACCGGGATTTCTGTGAAATAAAAATAGATGAGAACTTCCTAGTTGCATAATAGCAACTAGTTCTGCCAAGTTTTTCAAGGACAGGAAACTAAACAAAGACATTTCTAGAGGAAATAGTTTTAAAACACATTCAGTTATAAAAGTATGTATTTTTGTGCACAATATATAGTGTAACAATCAAAAGCAGAAACTGTAAACCTTCATTCTTAATAGCATTTAGACATACAAAGACGTACAAGTGTTGATTTCATACCATAGATATGTAAATTAAACATCTACTCTATAGACAACAGTAAGACATCCAAGAAGCAAACTGTTTTTGACTAATATAAAGGCACCAACTCCCTCACAGATTTGGCTCTTGCTGCATCAGATAATACTCAAGATAAGACTCAAGAGTCTCAGAAATTATTTTGTGTGGTATTCACAACAATATTACAGTTTTGATATACCAATCACAGCATTTTATCAGCCAGCATGCTCATTTATTGGTAGAGATTAGGCAAGTCAAGGACAAGAACAATGGCAAGGGAGAAAAACATTCTGATGTTTGGAATGTCCAAATGCTAAAGAGCAGGCTTGCACTGTGTAAGCAGAATAAGGTACCCACTTCAGTCTTCTGTTGTAGGAGACAATCATAATTAAATAACATATACTTTTGCTTTCACAAGTAGCAGCAAATATTCATTAAGTTACTCTGAAGTTTTTAAGAAGAAAAAAAAGACATACAAAGTCTCTATGCAGGTGGCTGTTCGAAGTTTATTATGCAATGTTCTTAAAAGTACTTCTTTGCTACTTGCATTTTTAAGCACATTATCTTAATTTACTGAGTGGGTAGCTAGTGAGATTTTGAAATTCAGTAGCATTCCAACAATTACCGGAAGCTAGAGAGGAGCCAACCCACACTACTCAAGTATCTATTCCCCTAAAAATGACTTTACCTTATTCACATAAGGCAAACTACCACTGGCCTATTTTTACATGCAGCTGCCTCATCCTTTGGTCAGTTGTTTGGGGTTTTTTTTGTTTGGTTGGGTTTTTGTTTGGTGGGGGGTTGTGGGTTTTGTGCGTGTGGTTGTTGATTTTGGTTCTTTTTTCTTTAAATATCAAGTTGTACTGGGACCCAACTGAAAATATACTGGTAACACTGACTGTTATTTCTACTAAAGAGAAAATAGAACTTAAACACTGTCCTGCATTTTGGTGGATTAGTGTCATCTCTGACTCTGGGATTCAATATTAGTAGCCACAGGGCATTTGTGGACTGTCCTTCAAAAAAGCACCCCATAATGCTATTAAGTTTTAATTATTTGTCCAATCAATTTGGTTTGAAGATTTTTGCCATCCAACACTGAGTATCACAGGTTAGTCCAAAACGTAATTTTCAACTTTACAACAGGCATAATATACTGCTGGGTGGAGTTAAAATAACCTAAGTCACTTAGAATTTAATTATTATTAAGATTTCAAGAAAATCTTTTCATATTACAGTAAAACCAGACTATTTTTCTTCACAGGAGAGTGGTTTACCTCACCTGTAAGAACATTTTATTTGCAAGCAACTTGGACATATAATATTTCCAATTGCCAGTCCCAATGTCTTCAATAATAAACCAGTCAAGAATCTATTTAGAACTAGTTTATTTAGAACTAGCATACAGTTCATAAATAGCTACTGCTTCCTCCAGACTTGTGACAAAGAAGTTTCACAATAAGCTTCTCTGGTTTTGGTAGGTTTTAGAAGCACTCCCAAAGTCACTGCTGAGAGCAAACTCTGCACCAGATCTCAATCATTATTTTGCACTGGAGAAAGGCATAAACTGAACTCCAGTGAAAAGTGGCCAAAGGAGAGTAAGATATGAGATGCAAGCAAGCTGCATGCTTTTCTACTCAGTTTCTTCCAGTTCAGATGCCTCATTCAAACACTTCAAAGTTAGCTTTTAGATGAGAGGTGTAAAATTTTCCATCAAATAAATACCTTAGGGAGATAGTTTTATCTTCTTCTACTTGTGTGCATGGGGCTTAGATCAGATATGTATATACACACAACAATATTATCAGAACAGTGCAGCATGATTAGTCATGGCCTCCAAACTGATGTCAATTTACAGTAAAGAAATGGAAACCTGTATATCCCTCTGGCTACCATTACCTTAAAGTTCATGTGGTTAGGAAGTGTTTTAAAGCCCTCAACCCACAAGTTGTAAGTAATGGGCCTCTTCAATTCTGTGATCCACAAATTCAACTCCAAACCAATCATGTGGTTTGGATTGTAAAACTATGGTTAGATGCTAGAGATACAAATCAGACAACATTCACCTAGTCCCTATTTTAGTGAAGACACTCAACTTATGAGGTATTTCAAACAGTGCAAAGTGCCCTCTCCAACTTTCCACAGCTGTCAATTCAGGTTGCCCTGCTTGTTCAACTTAAATAAAGCACTGAATTTCTGGTGCAGGGAAAAAAAAAAAAAAGAAACTGGGAAGAGGAATCAAACATGCAAGAAGATTCTCAAAGCCCTAACACTTTTAGCCCTGAGCAGTTTAAAGAAAGTGAAGGCAGATGAGTAGAAGGAAGTTGGCTGCTTTCTTGGAGTCAAGACCATGTTTACATGAAGCAATAAAAGATAACTAATCCCTACAGAAGGGGTACTGCTTCATTTGTCCCAGCCTCTCTTATTTCAGAATAGAAGTTTCACAGATCCATGAATATGGTGGCTTGCAGCTGGAGAGGCTGTCATTGAACAATGACAGCAGGCTTTAATTTTCAATTAGTTTCTTGGCTCTGATGTTTGCTTGCTCAATGCGTTCCCTGTTTGTATCGGCCTGAAAGAGAAATTCATAGGTCATTTGCAGACTCAATGCAAAACAACTTAAAAATTCAAACTGACATGAACTTCTGAATTGCAAGGTATCATCATTGTGGTAGAGAGAAGGGGAGCAACTTCTGTATGCTGGAAGTAATTTTTTTTTCCATAGAGAGCATATGGTGTCAATTTTGGTAGAAACAACAAAGAGAAAAAGGTTTTACTCTTTAGCTGACTTTCAAAACACATCAGCTTTCCTCAGCTGGTAAGGAAGCATGTTAACAAAACAAGGGAATAAAAATTCTCTCCCAGTGTTGAGACATTTTATGAACCTCTACAGAGAAAAAAGGTTGCTCTGAACTAGAAGTAATAGTAAAAACTGAGCCTATGGGCATGAAGTCAGATTTATTTTGTTTAGTGCAAATCCATAATTTTCATTCACATCCCCTCCAATGTACTAGTGCTGTAACAATATGGTGTTTTAAGAACAAGCTTTAGATTTTATTATTTTTTAAAGCATCAAAAGTCAGGTCACAGTATCTAGGTTGAACAAGTGTGAAAATACAGTTTTACTGAAAGGTATGATAAGGAGTTTATAAGTAATTCCCCAATTATGCAGTGTCCTGTGGGGAATGTGCAGGAAGTGTAATACGCACAAAATCAGCCTCTGCCCTCACCATGAGTGGAACCCCTAAGAAGCTCAGCCTGTGCCAAGTATTAGCACAGGTTTATGTGCCAAGTATTAGCCATTTCACACCTTTGTCTTGAAATGGGCTGGGAAGAGCACACTTGCAGTTCAAGTCCTTCCCTCCCATTCCCTCCTTCCTGCCTGTCGGGTCAAAGGGAGGAGAGGGACAAAAACCTACTATGGAAAAGTGAGACTCTAATCTGTTAACAACACTTTGGAAATACTAATCTAGTTACTAGATCTTCTAAGAAAAATCCAGTAATGTAAGTTTCATTATGGGTTTCTTCAGACCACGAGTCTTGCATAATACTACCAAAAGTCACCCAGTCAAGCCTATTTCCCAGGTGAATCAGAATTCTTTAAAAATTAGAAGTATCAATTATATTCTGAACTTAAATTCTGTTTCTTTACATGATACTGTTGTTTGGAGATTTACAGACAACATTTGATTTGGTTTCTATACTCACTACATTTAAGAAGTTATCAACATAGAAGGATTAATTTAAATATCCTGAGACAAGTTGCCAGTCTCAAAGCCAGGAATTGCACTTTCATTTCTATTCTGGTCTGCAAAGCAATTCTAACTTGTATACAACCCATTTTAATTATTAGTAAGACTTGATCAGCAAGATGTATTCAAATCACAAACCAAAGGAGCATCAGGCCAAAAGAGATGCTTGAATCTACTAGAAACACTATAACTGAAAACAGTAATTCCCACTAGCAGTTTATTTGACCAGGCAGTTTTCAGTCTGCTTTATAAGTTATAAGAATTTCACACCTCATTTTAAATTCAAAGAAATTTTCTAGTGTACTTCCAAGTGTCTGACTTTTTTAACACGGTAATCAGATATGCAGTTTCAGGGAACAGTTAATGCATCCTCCATATAATCATGTTGATTTATCAATACTAAATTACTAGACAAAATTGAACTGTTGACACACATGCAACTGGCATTTTTGTCACATCAGAGGAGTTCCATTCCTCTTTCGTTTAAGTCTACTGCAACATTTCAGTGAGATTTTTAAAATCCCATTTTGTCTTGATACTATAATTTCACAGTAATCAGTGTTTGCTTCTACTTTTTGAAGTCTCTAATACACACTATTCATTAAAGGTTTTTCTTCCTTTCTCAACCAGGATGCCTATAAAACAACTTCTACTCATTTCAGAATACAGACATTTCTAAAATAGACTTAGCATTCTCATTAAGCTTCCATTTGAAAGAAACCTCCCAAAATATATTCATATATGGTTAATCTGTTTGGAGAAACTAACACTTAAATAACTAAATTATATATATAAAAGAAAGTTACTATAATTAACTTAATGTGCAGACCATTTCCCCATGCACCTACAAACTCCATTATTCCACATTCTCCCCAGGTCCAATATTAATTCATCCACAAGAATTAGGGCAATGAATAACTTGTGGTTTACTTTACATTCATTATAGTGACTTCCTAGGAATTTTGAAGGGCCTTGGTATTGTTAAAAATACCTATTCCCTATCACAAGAAAAAAAAATTCCTGCGAGTAACAATCCACCAGGTATGTTTGTACATTTGATCCCATGAAGTTTATTAGTTTTCAGAGTAAGTAGTCATCTGTGCTGTATATTTAGGTTTCCTGGCACTCAAGCATTTGAATTTTAAGCTATATACCCTGTATGTATCAAGGTGTATCTCTTGCTCAAATCACTGCAACCTCGAGGATAGCATAAACTTATCACATATTTGCTGCAAATACAGTGAGCACATTCCTAATAACCTCTGAATTGAGAGCAGGGAACACCTTTGACATTTACCTTTATATTTATCCGGTCTATTTGCTTATTCTGGGCATCAATCTCATTGCCCATATCCAAAGCCATGTTTTTCAAATTCCCAAGAATGTTTCCAACTTGAGCAAGATTTTCATCCATTTCATCTTCTCTGGCATCATTGGTTATCCTGTTCAAATAATTAAGACAATGTTTCAAGAATCAAGAACTTGCTTTTGTCTAGCATAGATTTACTCTAGTAAAACTTGACTGTTTGTTGCACTATGCATTCAAACCAAGGTATGTTTTTCCCCCTTTTAAAACTCCCTGTACTTCAAGCAAGCATTCACCAAAAAAAAAAAAAAGAGTGCTAAGCTAGCCACTACTACAAAAATAGCCTTAAAAATTAAAATAGTTACCTGAAGTTTAAGACGTGAGTTTCTCTCAAATATACTTTATGACAGTAATAGACCTTGATATTTTTAACAGTCCCCTCAATAACTGAGTACTAAGCCTTACAGTTCTCACATCCAGAAACAGACTGACCATACCACCACTATGTAAAAAAAAAAAAAAAAAAAAAAAAAAAAAGAAGTGTAGGATGAGCACTACAATACTACAATACTGAAGGTGTAGGTGTCTGCCATCACCTCTCCAAGACACAACTATTCCTCCAAACAATACTAAAATTTTCAATTTAGCAACCTGACCTAAAATGCATCTGTGAAAGAAGCTGACAACTAGTAACAGGATTTGTGCATTTGAGATTGAGGAATATGAGCTAGCAAACCTTGTAATATATCCACCACTTGGTCCTCCAGAAGTCTGAGGCTGCCGCTGATTTATACTTCTTGGTTGCATGGATATCACATGGTCTGCTGAGTTCTCTGTTCCATCTCCCCAGGTTGCTCTGTATGCTTTGCTGGCCTCAAAGTTCTTTGTCCTACTCCATAAAAATAAAAAATCTGAACCACTTCATCAGAAATATAGCTTTCTAACTGAAATTCAGTGTTAATCTAGAATTTTCATAAACATTTGTCTTGTGCCCAAAAGAGATGAAATTTTGTACAGATAAAACTTTGTCTATATAATACAAGTTCTTGTATCTTGATAGTACAAACACAACTGAGTTACTCTAAGGACAGTGATTACTTTGGTCTTAAGCTTTAATAAAAGATCAGTAATTTGCTTAAAGCAATATTTTAACAGAGGACAGAAGCTTATGACAGTCACAAGAAAGCTTACCCTGTCATAAAATAGAATTGCACTTATAACTGGAATTAATCTAGAGACAAGATTAGTTACCTTTCAGGAAGAAATTAGGATGAATGCAAAAACTCACTCAAACAAATACCTATATTATGCAAGAAAACCATTAATTGCTACTATTTTTTTTATTCAAACATTAAAAAATTACCTGGCAACAGAAGGAGTTAATGTTTCTCATGTTAACTTTGATTATGAACTAACAGTAATCATGTTTAAGTAGTTCTTTCATTCTGCAATTCAATTGTACTAACTCCATTAAATCAATAAGCCAACTTGCCATTATACTTTTTCTATGTAAATCATAGGAGGAAAAAAATAAAGAAAGCACACTGACACAAAGCAGTCTCAAGAATCACAGAACCACAAAAGCATGAGGAGAAGAAAACCTAGCAAAATAAACTTATCCATGGGTGTTTATGTATTCAATATGGGAAATTAAATCTCATAGGTCAGATCCTACAAGAAGTAATCTAAAATTAACATACTGAGGGGAAAAAATAGAATAATTTCGCTGTTAATAGTGGAAACATTGCACCCAACAAAACCCTGAAGAAACCTAAACTAGTCAATTCTAGCTCCTTGTACATACACAGGCCTAAAGATGTCTGCAACTAAAGATGCCTAAAGTTTACTGCAACTAGATTGAGCATTGTATTTTAATCTCATTTATACTAAAGCCATAACTGGAAGAGATCTTTGTATAATTTGCTTCTGGAGGAGCAAAGTCTTAGGTGCCAGAGGCACATGTGAAGACTTCATTAACAAAAAACAAGTGACCTGAGGATTAGTTGCACCTGTGAAGTACACAGCCAGAAAAAGAATTACTGTTCAAAATAAGCACAGTTAAGAAGAAAACTTCTCACCACCTGCTTTTAAGAGCTGTTTTTCAAATTACTACACACTCACATTTCTCAAGTTTCATTTCTGCAAAACTAAGGCAATTTACACAACCTGTCAAACCAGCAATGGCTCAAGCAGTTGCTCACCATTTCCACAGCTAATAATATCCTCTGAAATAATGGACATTCTCTATTCATGTCAGTATTACAAAACATCACAATCACAAGGAGAACCACATGCAGACAGACACCATGCACATGCAAGCACAAATGCAATAGAACATCACTTCAGACAGCTGGTTAAATATGCATCTGCACTACTAACACTGACCTTGTCCTAAAATCCACTTTCACCAGTTTAAGTGAATACAGCTTCTTATCCTAGTCTTCATTTTTAGAAAGCAAGCATCAGTGTTAGGAAAGAATGGAGAAGAAAGTAGTACAGATCAACAAAAAGATAAATTGTTAATAGTACACAGATTGTATAACAGTATTTTTTGTTTTCACAAAGCTTTTCTAAATAATCTAAACCTAGGAGAAATTAAAAAAAAAACCAGTAACTCAGCAAGTGTTCTGATTTAGCTTATATAGCTTTATGCTTTTATGAAAAATATGAAAAGCTGTGGAGGTAACTGACAAATAAATCTAACATTGAGAAAGGGTTGGTGTACCAGTAGATATATGAAAGACACTCACTCTTTGCTGCCCTCTACTTACCCATTTTTTTCCTATACATTACTGTCCAGTTTGGTACACAACTACTTCTGTTCTTGTTATCTGTGTACTTGGAATGCTACAAGAGTTCACAAATTCTGAGCTTATTTAGTGTCAATAACCTGCTTAGCTTCAGTGAAATAAGACTATCAACTACAGAAAACAAAGACTGAGTGTGTCAAAATGCTCAAAGTCCACCAGCATGAGCCAGCTAATATTTAGCTGTAAGCAAATCTATCCAGAAGTCAGGACATCTGCATTTTCAAGGGACTAAAGCACTAAGACTTTCAGCCTTAGAAGTCACATTCACATCTATCCTAAATGACCATCTAAGTGCTATTCTCTTGGTTAAACAGACTTAGCTACTCCAAGGAATATTTACCTAAACTTCTGCTACTTCTCCATTGAATGATAATTGATTTTGCTCATGCTAAAGAGCAAAAACCAACAAATGCACACACTATTCACTTCAGTCACTATACTCAATTTATGCCTCCTTTATTTGGAAGGGTTATGATCACATCCAATTAACACAAACAGTTTGGTACTTTACTACTTAAAGCTAGGACACCATCAAAAATAATTCTGACATTGCTCAGGCTGTTTACTTGTTTAAAAGTACAAATCAAGTGTCATACTAAAAATTAGATTATTCAACTGATTCAGATATGGCAGCCATAACACTGATATTATAAAAGCAATGTGAAGCAGGTCTGCAAGAATTTATGTAGTCACTAGTGAAAAGATTAAAGCTTTAACACCAGTGTCTGCTCTGTTCTCCTAGTCTCACACTCCCTAAAGTATGAATAATTTGTCTTGCTTTTAAATTAGTACAAAAGTATTTTGTGAAAAAATTATTTTTGGAAGCAAATTTCTAAGAGACAGGCACTTACATATAGCTATTTGCAGGTCAATTTGGCCTCATCTGCATGGATATTAATTATCTTCTACTAAATAGAAGCCTTAAATAGATTAGGCCAGAACTGTGCAGGATGCTATATAGCAGCTATATTTACAGTAAAAGAGGCACAATGTTTGGTTAGATACAAGTTAGCTTTAGTTACTCTCATACAATTTTAAAAGGATGCAGCTCTACAAATCAAAACAATCAATTTTGTTAGAGATTCAGCATTTTTAATTAGCTCTTTAATTAGTTAATATTTCCTGGTACAGTAGATATTGGGAATATTCTAGAACTCTAGGCCCAAGTATCAATGCAACTGACCTGTTGCAAGGACAGACACAGAGCCCACAGCATTTGTTGAGCTCTGTCAGTGTCTTCTCAGCTTCTCTCATGTCCTTGTTTATCTGGTCCATGCCTTCTTCTATACGATTTAGTTGTTCTAGAAGAGAAACAAGTAACCTGACTACACATGGACTGGGAGAAGTGGGCAAAATTAACATCTCTTTATAGCAGGAAGAAGTTTCAGTTCCATCTTTATATAAAGACAATTGACTTTTTTCTTTCCTGCCTTCTAGGACTTTTTTCTAATTTTTAAGAAAGATCTTCAATGAGAAGTTTTGGTTACTACTTTGCAAATATCTTCCCCATCCTTAGAGCAGCATTTCTATTGCTACTTTTAGAATAAATGCAGCTAGTTACATTCATGCCATAGTGGAAGAAAGCTTCTGTAGCAGAGCTGTGTTACATTGTAACTATCATTACCTCTCAACTACTTTAAAACATATTTTAAATACTACAAATACCTAGGAATAACCAACTAGGAAATCTCATTTTCACCTAAACAGTCTTTAATAATAAGCCTTTAGTTTCAGCAACAACTCTTCTATGATAGTTCTTTTCTTACACTCGTTACATTCTAATGTTCATTTTTAGTGTTAGGGAAGAACTTACCTCCTTGCTCATCCAGCATGGTAATAGTTTTGATGCCAACATCCTGGGACTGCAGAAAGAAATTTAGTTGCAGATATAAAATTAGACTACAGTGCAAAATCAGAAGGTCTGGATAGTAAATTTGATAATCCATCCAAGATTATAATACAACACTGTACTTAAAATAATTTCTGTAGTAAAGCTATTAGAAGTCTCAAATTACCAGCTATGTTAGTGTAACAGGTAGGGTGCTTATCAGCCTATCTCAATTAGTGGGGCTTTTATGGTATTTTTGTGAGGTTTTTCTTACATTACAAAAGATGATAAAATTTATTGTAATATTCAGATTGAACTGTGACAACATCTGGCTAGAAAAGCAAACCTAGCTGTGCTTCATTTTGAGAGCCAGCATTTGGTTCATTCATCTCTACATCCTTCAAAAGGGCTTACAAGGCCTTTAGTCCTGGGAGCCAGAATCAAAGCAAGCAAAACAAAGCCTGCAAAATAATTTCTAAGCATTTAGCAGTGAGGAATATATTGCAGCAGAGCTCTTTGCTGGCTCAGTGTCTTGGATCTAGCATGCAAGTTGCACCCATGCTTTACTGTAAACTGGCAGCATAGAATGAATCAGGAAACTATGATGCCAAGAGAAATTATGTTGGCTCATGACATTTACTTAATGCTTGTGTGTGAAGGATTTATCAGGCTACAGTGACCAAATGCCTTACTGCTAACAGCTGCATCTTCAGCAACCAGAACTGTGCAGAGGAGTAGATTCCTCATACAACTTCACTTTGATAAACCCAAATACAGATTTGTTTCAAATAATGTAAAAGGATGTTAAGAGTTTCCTTATCAGTTAAAACTGATGAACAGATTGTAAGAAGATGTATGTAGAATTACTTGTTTGAACCAAGAGCAGTCATACTCTACCACCCCCCCCAGCTGACCCCTACTGTCTTCAGTAGTGAAACATTTCTAAACTGTTCACAGACAAAGTGAGCTGAAACACAGACAAAAGATGTTATGAAAAGCAAATTTTGCAGCAGCCAAAGACATAACTGACCATGAGAAGACTTTTTACAACTAATCTGTAACATTTGGAGATCAGATCCTTTTGCTTAAAACAGGTAAAAAGGATATTGATTCTTCTGTAACCTGATAGAACGTGAAAATCATGCAGGTTATGTCATTCTAATGCTACTACTCAATTAAGGCAGCAACTTCTAACGATGAAGTGTGTGTGTCTTGAGAAAGACAAAAAACTGTTTAAAATTACAGTTACCATGACACTTTTTATACTTCATAAATCCAGAGAATTCAAAAGCTTTTTCTTACCTCAATGGCCAAGCCAAGAATCCTCCTTGTGCTTTCCAAAGACTAGAAAGAATTTTAAAATGAGTGCATTAATTACTTATACACACATTAGTATCTGAAAGTCTTCTTTGTCAGTTCATTGTAGTAAGGCAACAGTACACACCTTGTACACCAACAGTTCATCACCTGTTCTACATTTAATACATGCTACAACATATTGGCAGCACATTAGTTTTTCTTTGTTTTTAGTCCTTGCTTTTATTTTTGTTATCCCATTGGAAAGTCTTAAAAAAGATTACATATTCAAATGAATTTTAGTTAAATAAGAAAGCCATGAAGTATCAATACAATTAACAATGCTGTAGGTAACCAAATTCTATCATATCAGTAATCACAACTGGTTGATCAGTACTCAGTAAAGTAAGTGACTTCAAATGAGTTATATGAGTTATAACTCATTCTTATTTTTAGCAGTATTCACCAACTAAAGTGAAAACTTAAAACATTCAGCTATAACCTTGCAGAATCATTATCCTGGTCCGTATCGTATTTGTTTTTAAAAGATATTCTGATCTTGTTAGGCAAATACTGTAATCCCAGATGTCTTCCTATGATATTTACCTCATCAGTGACCTGGTTGGCTCTCAGCTGAATTTCTTCAGGTGATAGCTCATCCATGATGAAGAAATACTACTTGTAAGGAATCACGTCAAAGAGAACCTTCCCCCTGTAACAACAGATACCAAGTAAGCATTAGAATTATCATTTCATCAGTATTTTGAGTTGAAAGTAGAAGATAGTTCAAAGAATGAGAGCCTATACATTTCATTCTGCATAGTAAAACATCTCATTAGGACTAGAAGACACTAAAATAATTATTCGGCTGATACAACCTAACTGAGGAGCTAAAAGAAATATAGGAACAATCAGTATATGAAGAATGTTTTTTTCCAAGACTTGGCTTCCTAAACATTTTTGAAAAAAATCTATGGTTAGTAAGGTAAAAAACAGGAAATAAGGTCTTAAAATAATAAACTTCTCCATGCTGGAAAAACACATTAGTTTACCCAGTAATCCAGAAATAAATTTATTAAGACATTTAAGTTATTAGTATAAACTTTAAGTGTTCTTTCCATTTCCATTGAAGAATTTAAATATCAGAAAAAGGAGAAACATTTTCACAGATGAAACACCGCCTAAAATGATCCCAAGTAAGACTCTAGAAATGGTTGTTATTGTATGGTGAATTCCTCAAATGCAAAAGTATCCACAAAGGTTTTAACTGGTATGTCTGAAACTGTAGCAAAGGTTTTCTGATCTATCTTTCTCATAATAAGCACAGGGTCATAACTGAGGTCCCAAGACACCATGATCTACCTTTTGCTAAAAACAGAAGAGATATATTTTGCCTAAAAGACAAGATGAATTAGCAATCCCATCAATAAGTGTATTCCTATTAGAGACAGGTTTTTCAGAGTTAAGAATCTGCATTTTTGTTGGAGGAATGGTAATAAAACCATCACTCCTAGCAATGGGAAAACAGAGCTCACAAGCTATACAAGAACTTAATGAGATAGCACATAAGCAGAGAAATAAGAGGATATTTCCCCCCCCAAATTTTCCCCCTTAATTTTAAATTACTCCTTGATCTTTCACATGAGTAGGTTGCAATTAAGTTCATGGTACTCATGCATATAATTCCAAACATCCTGCTTGACTTGACTAATTTTCCCCTTCAAGATCAGTATTTTAGAATATCTATCAAAAGTAATTGCTCCTAGGAAGTTAAATTTATGCAGATTTGCCCAGCTGTTACCCCACAGCTCTTCAGAAGAAGTGTGCATTACTCTGATGGCGAACTGAAATCAAGACACCTAAATCCCTTACAGTTGAAGTACTTAAAGATTTAAAGAACATTTCAGCAGGTTTGGTCTTCACCACCTAGCATAGCCTGAGACTATGGCTCTAGGAGATTTCTGTAAAGTAGATGTCAGTGCATGTTAGTTTTTGCTATCATTAAATAAAAAAAAATTCAAGATATTCTCACACAAGACCTCTAACTCTGTTTTCAGTAGTCCAATTTCAGTGTATAATCAGTAAATTATCTTTTCATTAACAGGCTTAAGCTCCTTTCATAAGGTTCATCTGAGGCAGTCCCAGCTTTGAATTTGAGAACACTCTTCAAGCTGATTTGCACACCTAAGGACCCCTGAGACAGGGACGAAAGTACCTATTTTCACTGAATAAGATTAAGCAACATCTCTGGGCAACCTGTTCCAGTGCTCAGTCATCTGCACCATGAAAAAACTTTTCATCATATTCAGGTGGAACTTCCTGTGCATCACTTTCTGTCCTTTGCCTCTTGTCCTGTTGCTGGGCACCACTGCAGAGCCTGGCTCCATCCTCTGACACCCTCCCTTGAGACACTGATAGACACTGATGAGGTCCCCTCTCCATTGTTTCTTCTCAAGGCTGAGCTGGCCCAGCTTCCTCAGCCTTTCCTGGTAAGAGAGATGCTCCAGTCTCTTAATTATCTTCCTAGCCCTTTGCTGGACCCACTCCAGGAGCTCCATGTCTCTCTTGTTCTGAGGAGCCCAGAACTGGACACAGCACTCCAAATATGCCCTCACCAGGGCTGAGCAGAGCGGCAGGATCACCTCTGACCTGCTGGCAGTGCTCTTTCTGATGAACTCCAGGTTCCCACTGGCCTTCTTGGCCACAAGGGCACTGCTGGCTCAGTTGTTGTCCACCTGAACCCCCAGGTTCCTCCTGGCAGAGCTGCTCTCCAGCAGGTCAGCCCCAGCCTGTGCAGGACCCTGCACTTGCCTTTGTTGGATTTCTGGCAGTTCTTCCCTGGCCATCTCTCCAGCCTGTTGAGGTCCTTCTCAAGGGCTGCACAGCCCTCTGGGGTATCAGCCACTCCTCCCAGCTTTGTGTCATCAGCAAACCAGTTCTAACAGCTGACAGACAGGCTTTGTGTTCACCTAGCTTGCTCACATCTTTATAAGTAGCTCCAGTGGCCACCAGCAAGAAGTTCTATAGAAATGCACAGCATTCCACTCACTTTTGCCCTAAATTAATAGTATTCAGTCTTGACACTGCTTATAAATTGACCTAACAATCAAGAAATCCAGCTTCAAGATGTGGAGGAAAAACCCTTCCAACACAGCAGACACAGAGGGAAAAAAAGTTACTTCCAGGATTTTTCAAAGCTGAGTTATGCATGTGCTTATCTTCTGATGCTCATGTTCGGACACCTGCAGTGCTTTGCCTCTTGTGACATGAAACCATAATTTAAAGTGATGGCTCATATAATTGTGAGGGTATGACCTGTGTGAGTAAGCTAAGTAAAACCATTCAGAACACTTGGTTAAGAGAAATGTTCTGACAACCTTTATCATAGATAAAGGGTCCAGGTATTTGCTGAGCTTTTCTGATAATTTCTTGAGGTCTTATGCCACTGAAAAGTGACAGAACATTTCTTTCTTTCAACTTCCTGGCAAGCTTATCTGCCTTCACTTTTCAGACATTACCATTAGAGTATATAAAACAAGACATATTAAGATTTCCTTATTAAGACAGGTATAAGAAAGCATGCTCTTTGAATTAGTATGGTTATAATGTCTGTTTAAAGTTGAATATCCAAGCCAAATGCATTAGACTCCAAAAACCCATAGTTTTATTCCTGTTAGTTTGCAGCATTGCTTTTGCAAGCACAGGCACAACCTACATGGTAGCTCTGCAGAGGCAATTAGTGCCATAAGGCAGAACAGAAAAACACATTCTCTAGGCAATAAAAACTTCTCATAACATGGCAGTTTAAAAATATTTTAAAAAGCACACATCACTAATTTAAAACAAACAAAACATTTCCAAATTAGGCTGTTTCCAAAGACGTGAATACAGACTCAATAGCTACAGGCCTAAGTGGAATAGCTGAACAAAGCAGGTGCCCTTCATGCAAGATACCTCAAAAGAAATTTTAACAGCCAAGATGAGGCCATTTGTATTGAAGTAACTCAGCTGTTCCAACAGAGCACAATATACATACATACAGAAAGGATACTCGTTTACCCATCTTTCTGCCTAGGAATCAAAAAACATCCTTGGAGGTATCTTACTCCAATGTTAATAGGAGGCAATCTTAATATAAGGCATTAAGATTACTCAATAAAGACAAAATATACAGAGAGAAAAAACTTGATATGGTTAAGATAACATTTGTTATGATAACATTTGCTAAGGCAAGCATTTATTTTAACATGGATACTCAATGTCTATTTTCTTCACCTTCCTTCCCCTACAATTTACAAAATCCTAGCCACAAAATAAGCAAAGTAAAAAAAAGACAACAGCCTACGAAGATATTTCATAATTATATCAATATTCTGCTATTTTTAATTTTTTTTCTAGATGGGCAAACTTTAAACAAGAATCTAAAGTACCTTAAGACAAAGCAGTACTCCTTTAAGGAAGGATGTGATGTCAGCTTTGTTTACTTTCTTTTATCAGTTTTCTGCAGTATTTGCTCAGTTAAACACATTTCAGTACAACTCCCCTTCTGCCCCTTTCAGAGGAAGGCCTGGTACTTGCAGAGTATGCAAAACCAAACTTGCTACAAAAATGTATTTTCTTGAGATAACTGGACTCATTAAACCTTTCTACTAGGAAACAAATTACAACACATTCATTACCTTAACTATCACTGCCTTATAAAAAGGAAGATTGAGAAACCAGAGCAGCAAGGAAATAAAGACACGGCCATCAAATTTTTACAGTATTATTTATTTCAGAGATTGTACAAGATAGAAAGAGTTCTTTGAAATTCCAATTCCAACCTAAAGCTTTAGATCTCTTCACAAGACTACTCATGTTGGGCTAAGCCATCCTTTAAGTTCACCACTATAATACATATCATAACTACAACATTGCTGCCCAAGCCAGTTGAGGATCGATTAAGCTTAAATTACTTCTATCTCCTGAACAAGAGGAAACAAACTTATGTCTGCACAGCCTTTTTTCCACTTGCTATCCATTTAGTCATGGCTCCAAAAACCCTGAAAAACTTTCAATTCACTCTCCTATGTGGAGTTCTTAGGTTGGAGAGGACTGAAAGACAAAGTTATTGCAAAATAATGAGGGACACAAGAAGCAATTCTGGGGTGATTTTATCATTGTCCATTCAAAGCATCACTGGTTTAGAGATCTTAATTTTGTTAATCAACACTCACAGAGCAGTGGAAGCATTTTAGTGGGTTCGTTGTCTAATTTGAGAAAGCTGGAAGGTGACAGACTGATGTGAGCTATGGCTTGGTCACTATTACCAGGAGGGTGATCCCGGGAGACCACAGTGCAAATTTTTCCTTGGGAAAAGCACTGCTGGCACTGCCACATTTGCAGTGGATCAGTCCCAAGCACTGAGTTCTGTCCCCAGCTACTGAACTGGGAGCTAACATCTGCCAAGGCAGAACTTTCATAGTGTGAGAGGAGCAAATTCAGTGTTAGGAACCCCCTTGGTGACCTGTCTGACCACGTCCCCAGGTTTAAGTACCCGCTTGTGATCAGAAAGCTACGGAAGCATCACTTCATCCAACAGCAGTTCACTGGCTGCTTTCCTGACAATAGGCACATTAAAAACTTTGTGGGGGAGGTAATAAAGCATTTGAATGGAAAGACCCTCAAGACTTAAAGCATTGCTCTATGCAGCCAGCAACAACATAATCACCTCTGCCACCCACCTTCCCAGAGCACATTGTAAAAAATTAACATAAATTTTTTTTTGTTGTCTCTCTCATGGGCCTAAAATACACCATTGCATCACTAAGGGTTTTCCTTGCAAGTATTTTCATTTTCATTCAGAATTACTTGCCAACTGGAAGCCAGTTATTTATACCAAAACACTCAGCTTCCAATGCAGACAAGTTTCAGAAGCCATTACAACAGTGACTTTGCATAGCATTTTTAAGGTTTTTTTTTTCTCAATACCAATAATCTTCTGGGATTTATAAGACACTTCCATAGTAATGAAAGCTATAGTAGGCAAGTTACATTATTTAAATATGCTCTTCTTCAGCACTTAGCTGAGAAGCAATTCTAATGCTTATTGTCATTGTCTCTAGGAAAAAAGAAAACTTAATTCCTTGCTTTACGACCACCACAACACATTAAGGCTGTGCTGTCCAAAATACTCAAAACCCTTACTGATCTTTATGAATTTAAATTAATTGCAGGGTGCCACAATGCTGATAAAGTGCTTGTTCAACTCCAATTACACTGTCCACATCTGGACAGGGAGAGGCTGACAAAAGCGACAAGTTTCCTAAAGCCAGACAGCTCTACTTGCACCAGATCAATATTGTTTGATTGCTGGCACTTTTACAAACCCACCCTGAATAAGATTTTTGTTCTGCATCTCTGGCTGACAAGAAGCAGTTTTGTACCTCTGATAGGCTTAATTCCTTTCAGAATTTTGAATGCAATTCAGAAATGGATATATCCATTACATTTGCTACATATCAAACTACTTTCTTACTCAGTATCTGAAGGTCCTCTATTTGCACATACCCCTTTTCCTGTGAAGTTATGCTTTTAATCAATATCACAAACTCGCCTTCCTCTTTCACTGATAACTTGTAAACTGGGGGGGAGAAGGAAATAGCCTATCCGGTGCATCTACAAGTATAATTGAGAAATACAGCTTATGCCTTCTTACCACAAAGATAGGAACTAGCTGCTGATACAACCCAGCTGTTGCAGCAACTGACTGGAAGCCAGTATCTCATGAGATGTATTTTTAGCTGTCAGTGAATTAGTACAGCCCCAGGTGATTGCAGATGCTCTCAGTTCCTTCTCTTGTAAAGGGAGCTGTTGCCTTCCCCAAAAGATGGAAAAATTAATGAAACAATATTCTTAGATATGTGAATGTTAAGTATGAATTTCCTGTGCATACTCACAAAGCTCAAAATTAGACACCTTTGTGTTTAGTGATGGAGGTTTTTTTGTTCTCTCAAATTCTTCATATCACTAATACAGAAAAGTTGGGTTTTAAAAACCCTTCCTTAACACAAACAGATATCCTACTTGCTAGTTAGCTGAAATTCAGCCCAGCTAGTACAGGGTGGTACAAGGCATCAGCACCAGAATGCACTCCTCCAGAAATTATTATGTCTACAAGATAAATGAATAAAGCATCTGTGGCCCTGGAGGAAGAGGCCAGGGCCCAGGACCAAGACACTACTCTGCATGCTTCCTGCTTTCCCTTATCAGCTTCCTGAACACACTGCACAGAGGCGATAGCACAAAGAATAGGCGCTACCAATGCCACCTCCTCTGTGCACTGTGCTCAGTTCTACCCTCACCTCAACAATTCATTTTTGCCGCTGAAAAAGCCTCATGAAACCTCCTCCAAATCACATACTGGCCAATACAAATTCACAGTCCAACTTTGATCATTTACTGAGTTACAGACTCCATTTCTCCTAAAGACACAAACTGTGCTATATGATTGTGCCCCTACTTCAAAAACTGCGGAGCAGAGGAGTTCAGGCATATAGACTGGCTACTAGACTGCCAGTAAGCAATAAAGTGCTCAATTGCATCAATCAAGCAAGCAGTTGATATCACAGGTGGCTTTGCCTTTGTCCCTAAACACCTTCCTACATAGCTGTTCCCTCTACAGTACAGAATCACGTTTGTTTATGAAGGGGAAGTAAAATAACACCCTTAGTTCTAAAGACTGAGCATCTAGTAACCTTTTTCAGAGAACAAAACAACAAGTAAGGCAAATAGTTAGAGAGGTTGCATAAAGAAATTTCCCAAGTTCCCTTAGATCGTTTACTTAGAGTGTCAAGTCATGCGCTGACTTCACATTAAGTGAAACAGAAAGGGAAAAAAGTGAAAAAAGCGAAAAATAAAGTGACTCATTCTGCATTCCCAGAAGCACCAAGGGCATCGAAAGGTACAAGTGAAAGAAGCACAAGAAGCACTTCGATTCTTATTGTTTACTACATAAACACTACAGCATTTTACAGATGGGTCTAAAGGCAGCAGGACACAATACATAAGCTTAATAAGAAGCAACAAGAGGTGGGTTTTCTCCTGGGCCCTACTAACACCGCAATTCACGGGCTCTCACCAAGCAAATAAAAACCACCTGGACATGGCATTGCCGCCCCCGCCAGGGGCGAGCCCACGAGGCCTCCTCGCACACGGGGGCGGGCGCAGCCCACGGCTGAGGCGCGGGCTCGGAGGACCTGGGCCCAGCGCCCCGCGCAGCCGATACAGGACGGCAACCGCGGCGGGCCAGGCCCGCCTGGCCCCACTGAGGCCCCCGGCAGCCACAGCCCGCCCCGCACAGGGCGCAACGCGGCACGGAGGAGGACGCGGACCGGATCAGACAGCCTGCCGCCTCACCCGGGGCGCTGCGAGCTGCCAAAGCCCAGCCCGTCACCCACCTACCGGCACCGCCACAGCCGCCGCCGCTCCCTTACGCCGGGCCGGGCCGTCCCTTTAGGCTCCCATGTCCCGCCCGTCCCCGCTGCCGAGCCCCGGCCCGCACGCGTCACCACCGCCCCCGGAAGCGGGGCCGGGCCCGCCCCGCTCCTCCGCCACTCCCAAGGTGGCGGCGGAAAGGAACCGCCCCCGGCGCCCCCGCACCGGCCGGAACACCGGCCTGTGTACAGCCGGCATGGCGCCATGCGAGGGTGCTGCGCCTCCTTCCCTCCCCCTTGAAGAGTGGGGGTCTCAGCGCCGGGTGTGGGTGTGCATGTGGTCGCCCGCGGTCCCGCCGTGCTTACCGGAGCTGCGGCAGCCAACAATGCAGTACAGAAGTGGCCCTATTTGTATCGGTGGAGTTTTTCTCTAGTTTACCCTCTACTAGGACGATGAGTGTCAGCGCCCTTCTGCCACCAGCGGAGAGGAGGGCAGAAAGGGAAAGCTGCTCCTCGCTATCACTGACCTTATCCTTTGCAGCTGAACCGCGCAGCCTTCCCTGAGGTATATTCCTTCTCGGGTGTGGATAAGTTCTTCCTTGAGGCTGCTGTCGAGCTGTAAGCACTGAAAGCACAGCCGGTAGTTTTTACAGCATCAGGTCCTGCATCTAAAGCCCCTCTTCCAGTGGAACTGCTGCTGCGATCTCAGAGCTGAGTCTTGGTTTCCCCCACCTCTCTCAGTATCTCGGGATGCTCCAAGTCCCTGTGGACTTTGGCCTCGTGAAAGGTCCCGGTCAGTAAGGCTTATTGCACACTGCACAACCCGCGCCCTTCTCCTCCTGCCTTAAAAATCGCCCCTGGAGCAATTTCCCAGTCACGGCCACCCTGGCAGGCGTGATGTCCACGGCATCTCGCTGCTGAGGTACCCGCCGTCTGCAGCTTCTGATTTGTAGAAGGGTAATACGTAGCACTATGCGTATTTAAAGCGCTGTGTTTACACATAACTACAATAACCTCCATTATCATTATCTGTTGGTAAATGCCCCCAGCTGGCCGGTGCTGGTGCCCTCACCATGAAGTTCGTTCGCCTGTCGGCTGTCCACGATCGTCCCGCCGCCGCCAGGACTGCATTTCCCGGCAGCCCCCGCGGGCACGCAGGCGTGCCGTCCAGCGTGCAGCGCGGCCGCCCTCCCGCCGGCCCATTGGTGGGCTGCGGTGTGCCCCCGCCAAACCGCGCGCGCTCTTGCGGGGTGGGCCCGGTGCGGTCGCCGTGCGGGCGGCCGGACCCGGGGCGGTGCCGGCCGGGCCTCCTCGGTCCCACAGGGGAATGGGCTGCCGGGCCGCTGGCCTGGGCAGGGGTGCGATCCGTGAGTACCGGAGCTCTACGGAGCAGAGGGCTTGGGGAGAGCGGTGGCGGCCGGGGGCGATGGGGGCTGCTCCGGCTCTGGCGGAGTGGGCGGCCTGTGGAGGGCAGCAGGGCGAGCCCGGCCGAGGGGGGCTGCGGCTGCGGGCTCCGCGCCTTGGGGCGGGCATGCGCTTTGCTTTGCCCTGTGAGCATCCCCGATTGCTGTAGGGATCCCTGCACTTTGATGCCCTGCTGGAGGACAGCTTAGGGTGGAGGCCTCTCTGTCCCAGGTGTGCAGCTGCCCTGCTGCCTCTTCGTGCTTGCCAGGAGTGTTTCCGGGGATGAAGTGTAACTGAGTGCAGAGTTGCTTAGTTGCCTTCCTCATAAGTCAATATCTAAAAATGTGTTGTAGTGAAAGCATGCATGAGTTTAGTGATAAATATCTGCTAACTTAAAAGGAGTGGGACTGACAGCGTGAAACAAGTCATAATAGTATGATGAAATATGAGGTATTTGAAAGCAACCTTTCATCATTGCACACAGGGTAGTTGAAATCCAAACTTATATTAAGAACTGCTCGGGGGTGCATGTGAATGTCAATTCGTAAAAGGTTATGAAACATTGGATACAAGTAGCACTGATGAAGCATTGAAGTTCCTGCTTCAGTATACTTTGTTGATGGAGGTTTGGTAACAATCTTGTCATGCAAGTGTAAACCTGTCATCTTCCCTTCTGCACCTGAGGAAGTGCAGCTTTAAAGAACAGATAGGTTTTGAGGTGGTGTGTCCTGAGAGAGAAGATAATTGAGAATTTGTGGACTTTGTTTTCAACATGAGTTTCCAGGCTTGCATGTCCTATATCTCTGTTGCTTATTGCTGTTCTTCAGGTATTTGCTACTTCTTTCAGTTAAACCTCAATTACTGTATTTAGCAAATTGGCTGTTTTGCTGAACTGACAGATCCTGGCCTAAAAAAAACCCCAAACACTTAATCCTTCCAAAAATTTGATTAACAGCTTTGCAGAAGTTTACAAACTTATTCCCATTAGTACTGCACTGTTTGGGATTACAACTGCAGGCTCTAAGGACCAACGCAATGTATCTCTGTAACTTTTTACATTGGAAAATAGATTTCTATCCTGAAGTCTCTTCGATTAAAAGCAACTGAATTATGTTTTGTTTTTTTTTAAGTCCTTGCTTGACTTCAGCTGAACTGGCAGTAAAAGGCAGCTGCACTTGCACTACTTTGTGTGTTCCACTAATGACTGATTTTTGTATGTAAAGTTAGCTAAAGAGGTGCTACACTCTGGCATTTTCAGTTGATTTTACCCAAAGTATGTTTGCATTTTACCTAAGTCCGTTTGGTCACTGTGACCAAACTTCATGTAGCTTCTATTCCCTAGGTTCAAAAATGTCACATATTTGAACTAAAGACCTTAATTCCTGCAGGATTGTGAATCCAGTACAGGGCAACAGCAGTCACTATCCTCTACATGTGTACCTAAATTGTGTACAGAGATACAGCTTGAAGTATCTAGGTAAAATGAAAGTATTTTTCTATCCATGTTCTTTTCACCTTATCTTGTAAAGAAAAAAATTGTAAGATATCCAGAATAAAGTTTAATTTTTTTCAGAATAAAATTTAAATTGTTAAAACTCTTTTTAACATCTGGTAATCATCTTTTGTGAACTCTGCCACCAGATGGTGTCATAAGATTTGAGATGTTATCTGACTCAAGCTGATTCTAGCAAAGTAAGTGGATACTATGTCTTACAAGTAGCTTGTTTTGTTTTTATAAAACTGTGTTTTATATTTGTAATGTAAGGTTTTTGAGTTTCTTTCATCAAGTCCTAGACTATTTTACATTTGGATCCTATTGTGGTAGAGCTGCTTGTGTTCAGCCCTGGGACAAGCTACAGAGATATGACAGAGATATGACAATTTAGGCAGAGCCCTGTATTTCTATTACCTGGTCATAAATTACTACTATCTTAATGTTTAAGATCCTTAACTTGATTTTTTCTTGGTATGAAAGCTCTTTATATTGAATAGTGCCTTGAGTACCTTGGTTTGAATGCTTCAAATCACCCTCCAGTGATTCTTCATACTCTGTAATGACACTATAAATAGAAGAAGCCCAATTACTTGCTGAATGCTCTCCCTGTTTGTTCTCTTGTGTCTATACAGATCTTTCTTAGGGAGTCTGAGTTATTTTGACAAGGTCAGGTACCTGTTTCTGTGGAACTGCAGTAGATAGGATGTATAGAGTAATCTGTTTTGATGTGGCTTTTGAGTCCTTGTCCTTAATTTATCAGTGAAAGAGATGGCATATGAATACCCGGGAAGGATACAATGAGATTAAATAGCCTAGGAAGGGGGAAAAAAGATACAACTTAATGTTACAGAAGTAAGTGTAAAATCAAGTGTTGGATATTTCTATCATTCTTATAAGGGTCTGTAAAGTGAAGACCCTTTATAAAGTGACTCAAGGTCACCAGAATAAGCTGATGTGAATTCTTTTGAGAGTCACAGTAATATTTAAATTTTTAGATATTTAAACCTAAAATTTAATTGAGTTGTTTTGCCCACATCTTGTGGATCACTATGTTGCTTTTTAGTAAGATTTTGTCTCAGTCATTATCAATTGTGTTTGAGGCTGTAACAGTAGTAGGGATACACAGACAACTCCCTTCTCCTAAGGGTGCTAATAGGGGTGTTAGCCAAAGTACTGCGTCCGGTTTTGAACAATCCTTTTAGAGTGCTTTGGGCAGCTTGGAAAGGGAAATGGCTATTTTAATAAGCCCAGGAAATGTGATGTTTGAGGAAAACATCTGAAGAAAACAAAACTTGCATATGACTTAAACCAAGTAGGGAGTATGGGAGAAAACAGAAGCTTTCCAGCTTGTGGAATTTCCAGGTATGTGGATTTTAGGTGTTCTAAGTGGCAGCATACAGTAATAATGCTGAACAGTTCTTCATTCCAGTTTGGAAAGAATATATTCCTGAATCTTCAGGTGTGTGAAAAGCTCTCATGAATAAGAAAGAAATAAGGCATTTAGTTTCACTAGAGAGAAATGATCACCTTGATTTACAGCAAGGAAAACTTACTTTGTATATTAAGAGATTATTACCATTGCTTATGTATAGGAGTTGGAAAGATGCAATTTGGTTGCGGGTTAAAGTGTATATGTTCTTCTGGTCTGTGCCCTGTTCTTAGACTTACATGAAATAAAAATAGAAGTCAGTGAAAACTCTGTGTTCCTGCCAGGTGTTCTGTGCCTGTGCAGGTCTGTTTAAGATATTTCTCTGTGGTGTCGTTATCTCCAGCAGACTTTCCCTGTGTGTTGTAAAAATCCCAGTCATACTTATGAGATAGCACTCTGTTTCTGCTAGATGTTTTCTAGGCCAGATAGTGAAGTAAATTTTATTGCTTTAAACAGGAGCTTAAAGAACTTTGATCTGTGAAATAACTTTTCTTTCCTGGCTTAATGTCAAAACCGTTAAGCACTTGTCTGCCCAGTTATACCATTTGCTGTCTAGTGGTGGTGTTTCAGTGCTCAGGGGTCTAGACTACCCCTTAGACTGTCACATGGATAAAATTAAATCTTGGAAAGCAGGGAGAAATTTACCTTAAAAGCTTTACTTCTGGTACAAGTATTTGAACTTCTGGAGTGTAATATAGTTTTCTCCTTTGCCCTGTAAAAATAAGAAACCAACTACAAAGTAGTTAGTGGCTGACAGTGTGCTGGGGGAGAA